GCGTAATGACATAAAAGGTGTTGTCTCAGACTCCATGAGAGGTACCAGCATCCAGGCTGCAGTTCCCTCAAAGGAAAGGAGATACCTCGGTGGGTATCTCACAGCTGCTGCGGGACCTTCTCGCCTTAGGAAGCGGGACATACTTGTACACATGACGGCCTTAAGGACTTTGCGTGTCTGCAGCAGCCGCTGGGAATGTTACTGTTGCTGGCGCCTCTTGAGCCAGGCCCATGCTTTATTGCACCTGCTCTCAGTCCCACACCGCTGACCTGGAAGCCCCAAGAAGGTTCCTGTCTTTGTTCCCTCTGTGAAGTCAGTGCCACGTTGGGTTGGGGTGATGGAGATGGGCGGTTGGCGGTGGCCCCAGCGGAGGGAACGGCAGCCAGCCACGGCCATTCCGGGGGGGATGCAGAGGGTGTTGGGAGGGTGACCCGAGAGCGGCGCCACTACACAGGTGAGCAGCTTCTCCAGTGGGCTGTGGGCTGGTGGGATCAGCCCCGGGTGGGGGCCACAGGGCTGCTGGGAAGAGGAGCAGGCAGGAAGGGAGTGTCCGAGAGGTTGGCTTGAGTGAGGCGCAGCGTGGGGGCGGCTCACAGCGTGAGCGCTGGGCGCGCCTTCCCAGAGGAAGTCCACTGGGGAGTGGAGGGAGAGAGCTGGGGGGTGACAGGTGTGTACAGAGGCGAGGTGTTTAGGGTGGGGGCAGGTACAGCGTGGCGGGCTTGTGTGGTGAGAGGAACAGACACGATGGCCATGTGCAGGTGGCGGGAGGGCGCTGCTTATGCTTCTGTTGGCACGCTGCTGAGAAGCCACAGGTCCTGCCCACTGGATGCAAGGCACCAGCCCGGACCTGCCTTCCTCACTCCTGACTCCCCTTAGGGCTGCCACTTCAAGAACCTGTCTGAGGACTTCCTGCAGTTGAGAGCACAAGGTTACGCGGCCATTGTGTAATTGGTCGTGATTTTCAATTTCAGGTGTGGGCCAGTCAGAGTTTGCGGTTGCTGACATGGTTGACATGTTTGTGTTGCTGCTGCCACCCGCAGGAGGAGATGAATTGCAGGTAACGATGTTGATTCTTCCCGGAACCCAAGGTATGCACAGCTCTGGAGGTGCAAGCTCCGATCTGCGCCTTGTAGTTAAGTTGATGATAGTGCAGACTCGGGTACTGAAGTCAGAGGAAGCCTCTGTAGTCCCAGTTTGTAGCAGCAGGCTTGGGGCTCTGAGCTCCTGAGGCACCTTGGCTCCCCGCCGCCTGGGTCCTGGGAGTGCAGGAGGGGGGGTCGGCTCAGCCCAGATGGCCGCTGTGCCTGGAGTCCTGCGCCTGGTTCAGAAGTCCCTGGGGAGAGAGCCATGTCCCACCCACCCCAGAGCTGGTGACCGTGAAGTGGGCTCTCACTGCCCGGCAGTGCTGTTCTGACATGCAGGACCCACAGTCGGCGCAGCCTTCACAGGTGAGGGCTCGTCGCACAAGCCGCCGGCTGACCTGCGTGCTCTGGTTCACTGGCTACAGGTGTGGGGGTTCCCACTCCCTTCAGGTGGGATGGAACGACTCGGTAACCCAGGAAGGCTCTGTGCCACCATTCAGCTATTCTCTAAAGGGCACAGACCAGGATTGGGCAAATGAAAAGACACAGGAGAGCCTGGGAGGGCCCCAAAGGCTACGCGTCTGTGGCCAGGACGCGCTTCCTGCCAGCTGGTTGATGTGTTTCGCCAGCCAGGGGCTGCCCTGACCCTCTGGCCGGGGTTTATGGGGTTTCCTTGTGTGGGCATGCTTGCTTGAGTCATCGCCATTGGCACCCTCCTCCCCTCCCCCAGGTCAGACTGAGCTTTTAACCATGTGACTGGTCTTTCTGGTCTAGTCAGCTCCCCACTCTGAGTGATCTTCATAAACTCTGCTGTGGTTCTGGGCACCCACAGGGAATGACAGAGACACCCCTGTCACTCAGGAAACGCTGTTATGTGACATCTCCTTTTCAGTTGTGTGATTCTAAAAATTAGTGAAACTGTGATTTAGAAACACTATCTAATGGGATTCAATAATTAAAAGTTGTGCTTAAAAAATATTTAAAAGGAGATTTTCATCTAAGACGGACAACATTGACACTTTCCAAATAAGGTTTGACCTTTGAATCGCACCCTGCCTCTCTACAGTTTTCATGCAACACAGTTGAAATTTAAAAAACAGAGACATTTTTAGCCATCAGCTTGTCTCCAAATGCAGATGGAAAAGCAATGCTATATACATTTAAGGAAACCTTCAAGGATTTTGTTTCTGGAAAATAGCTGTGCTCTCCGGGCAAGCATCTTCATGACGTGTGGGCCTGAGTCCTAACGGCAGAGTGAACTGCCTCTTACCACACTCAGCCTCTTGTTCTGATGACAGATTTTCTCCGCTTCCAAATGTCTTTCAGCTGCTAGCATCTAAATTTGGAAGAAAGATCACAGATGACTTCCTTCATCCCATGAACCAGTGCTTTTGAATAGTTTCAGTCTAATGTGAGGCCTGGCATCCAGGGGTTGGGAAGATGCAAAGAAAAAGCTAGATGGCTGATGAAATGTTCCGGATCGCACCCCTCACTGGGGTTCTGTGTTGTGCTGGCTATAATTAACTTTTCTGATCAGTCGCTTTCTCTCCTCCTCAGGGCATCAAAAGGGGTATAATTGAAATGGCAGATCTGGTGGCTATAACTAAATCCGATGGGGACTTGGTTGTGCCAGCGCGAAGGATACAGGCAGAGTACGTGAGCGCGCTGAAGTTGCTCCGCCGGCGCTCCCAAGTCTGGAGATCACAGGTGCGCTGGTGCCGGGCAGCGTTTCTCACCCGGAGTGAGCGGATGGACGCTCGGACATATAATCAATCAGGGCTCGTCCGTGAGATTATAACTGAAAGTTATGACAGAGCCAGAGCATGCAGTCGTGATGTAAATACCATCCTCAAATCCTGGATGTCAAAGCCGAGACTAGAGGTGATAGATTAGGTTGCTCAGCGCCTGACCCGAGCCAGTTGGAAGTGATAGCAAATCCATTCTGAATCTTTAAGACTAGGGAGTGATTACTGATTTGATTATCTACTTTAGAGTTTGAATAACAGAAAAGGCTGGGGTTTGACAGCTCTTCCCGTTATGCTCGCTTTTTTTCTGAGGAAAAAGAAGGCTCCTGTAATGAGTGGCACAGTAAAGTGGATGGCAGCTATGCCTGCTGCAGGCACCATTGTTAGAGAAGAAGCTGTGATCCCTCATGCAGGCTCTCAGTCTCCCTCAGGCGGGCTCTCTGTCTCCCGCAGTCCCGCCTGGGCTGGAGCTGTCTGACCACAGGTGCTGATGCTCAGCGCTCAGGTATTGCGTCAGGTGGCCCAGGCAGGGGCGCCATTTTCTTGCCTTAGCTTCTCTTGCATCAGGCCTCAGGAAAACCCCTGGCATTCTCTCTTCTCCCCTGTGAAGGCCAGATGGGCTGTTCTCTGGCTAAATGCACGGGCTAGGTAGTTTGACCTTGAGTCAATGTCTTAGTTCTGCTGTGCACTGAAGAATCTAGGGCCAGTGACCTCAGTATGCTTCTCGGTGTATTTGCTTAGGCGCAGCCATGAAAAGTCTGTTTGTCCCTTGTGTGTCTCCACAGACTGTAAGAATTAATATTGACAGATGTCAGCATGCCTGCCAACAAACTTCCTCTCATCTTCAGCAAAATGATCTTGGTTCTTCTCTTTTCAACAGGTAATTCGCATTTCTTCCAGAAGTGGAGAGGGGATCGCTGAGATGTGGGATAAGATGAGGGACTTCCAGGGCCTCATGCTGGCCAGCGGCGAGCTGACCGCCAAGCGGAAGCAGCAGCAGAAGGTGTGGATGTGGAACCTCATTCAGGAGAATGTACTGGAGCACTTCCGGACCCACCCCACGGTCCGGGAGCAGATCCAGGCAATGGAGGAGAAGGTCCTCGATGGGGCCCTGTCCCCGGGCCTAGCAGCAGACTTGTTGCTGAAAGCCTTTAAAGGCAGAGACTGAGGAAAATGTGTCCTAAGACTGTATACGACATCTCCCAACTATTTCACTATTAAAAGTCACTTGTGTGCTTCTGTTCGCAGTGCTGCTTTTGCGCTGCCCTCGGCCTCTGTTGGCCAGCCGCGTTTGAAAGCTTGAAGAGCGTGGGCCGTGGAGGACCCGGGCCAGGCAGCCAGGCAGCCAGGCTTGTGCGCAGGTACCTGCTGTCCCTCCCTCCCGCCTCTCCTTTTACCCTGGCTTGGTGACTGAGGCTTTCTTCTCATCCCTCAGGGGCTGAGCAAGATGAGGAGGACAGGAAAAGTTCCTACCTCACAATGCTTGCTTTGATTCTGTTTTCTTTGACTTTCTGGAGATAACGTAAGCAAGACCACATTTCTGAAGTCTTACTCAAGGCTAGAATCATACCAGTGGGTTTCGAAGACTGAAATTCGTGGCCGGAATCTAGTGAAGGGGCTATTGTCTGTCAAGCACACAGGGTCACGAGGTGTGTAGAGGTGGGAAAGCAGGTGTACAGTCTGCTGGGACATCCGTCACAAGGGGAACCCAAGCAGAACTGGTAATATCATTAATCCCCAGGAGTTGGAGTGACCCCCAAACCCCCAAGTAAGGTCAGAATGATTCCAGGGTTATTTGGGTTGAATGTCACCAAGGGATTTCACCTCTCTTTGTCCTTGGCCCTTTAAGTCCATGTTAGCAGCTTAAAAGCCCTCTGTGCCCTTCCTGGTGGGGCACAGCTTTGCCTTCTGGAGGAGGCTCCATGTGGTGCCTCATGAAGTGCTTGCGGCCGGACACTGGACTGTACAGGTGTAAACGCTAGACCGAGATTAGTGGCTTATTATTAGCTGTGTAAACGCGGGCGAAGAACCTACTCTCAGCTACAGTGTCACGCTGCAAAGTGGAATTGACATGCTGACCTTAAAGGTTGCTGAGAATTCTATGCGACGACTCAGGAGGATCCTTTCACCACCACACTGGTGACCAGGGAATTTGGGCTGCTTGCTGTCAGTGAAAGCTGTGGGCTCCTGGAACCAAACCCCGCACCCTGATTCCTGTCTTCTCCCTGTTCTCCCTGCAGTGTCTCCTCGTGATAGCTCACCATTGTCTAATTCTTCGGCTATATTTTATACTGTGTGGCAGCAGTTATAATTGTGTGCATTTGACTAAAATTAATTTCTAACACAAAATATCTTCATAGAAACTTTAAACATACTACATTTTGAACACTTTTTTTTTTAAGGAATTACTTATGCATACAAGAACTGGGGTACAGGCCACAGGTGTGGGGGATAGTGAGAGGATTCACCAGAGACAGAGTGGGGAGCAGAACAGGCAGATTGATGAAGTACACTGCTGAGGGGAGCAGCGGGGAGACAGGAGAGGCCTGCCACGCCATGTGGGTCAGCTCCCTGCCCCAGGGATTGAACTCAAGCTGCAGTGGCTGCAGGTAGCTTCATAGTGCTGTGCTTTAACCCCGGCACCCCTGGGGAGGCCCCTCTTTTGAACTCTGTAGGATATTTTCTCATAGTCATCAGCTCTCACTGTTGAGTTCCCTGCTATCTGCAGTTGAATTGCTTGAGGGTAACTTAGCAGGCTTTTCTTTACCTTTAAAATAGATACAGCTGTGTGCTTGGCACTGCTGTGTCACATGGGGGTGAGGAGGAGCCATTGAAGGGTATCTAGTCAGGTCATCATTTAATCACCCTCTCTGGTAGAACATTGTTTTCAGAGTCTTCCAGATTCCATAATTAACCCTTTGTGAGCTCCTCCAGTGAGAAGTGAGCCCCTTATTTCTAGTGCAGTGTGAGTAGCAGAGAAGTGCATGCTGCATCATAAAGGTCGGTGGCTCTGTTTCGACCTGAATCCAACTCTGCATTTCTTGAAATGTTACAAATGCAGTCATAAAAAGTGCTAGATCTGCCCTCCTAGTCATCGGTATGTAGGATACCATGGGCTGTGATATGGAGACCAGTTTCTAAGATGCCGTTCACCTTTATTTCTGTCATTTGCTGTACTGGAAGCTGTACAATATACTAAAATATTTGTAACCTTGAGGAAAATCCACGTTCCCTGTGTTATGTGCCACAGAGCCGACTCCCCTCCCCCATCTGTCCCCCTCTCCTGTCTGCGATTTTGCAAACTAGAGGCCAGACCTGGGCAAAGGCGCAGGTCTGACTCAGACACATCTAGAGTCACAGGTCTGCTCTGTTACTGTCCATCTTCATGATCTGGGGAGTCGTTTCTTTCCTGTATGCCTCAGTTCCCTTATGTGTACATTAGGGAAGAACAGCTCTTTTGTAGCAATCCTGAAAGAGTGACAGGAGAAATTATTTTTAAACTCATGGCACTCAGTGGTGGGCAGGTGTTAGAAATGTTGTGTGTGGACATCATGAGGGCTTTTTGTCCAGTGGGCAGACCTGGCATCACTTAACATCTGTTTGGCTGAACTACTTAATCTCCCTCGATTTTCTCATAAACTGGGGTTGACTTTACTGTCCACAGCGGGTTGTAAAAAGGGCTATTTCAGTTGCTACACAGGGCGTAGTGAGTGCTAAGTAAATCTTTAATGATAAATAGTGGCTGCTTCTTGGGATAGTTTTGAGGATGAAATGAGTTGTCTTCCCCTGTCTTCAAAGGGTTATTATTTCCTGAAAAAAGAAAACTCAGGGCTTGACTTCATCAAAAAGGCTTAATTATCACTAATCTCTGGATGACTAAAAAAGGTGCTGTGTTCCAAACTGATCTCTGAAATTAACATTCTGCTAAAACCACACCAAATTACATTAAAATGACAATTGCTCGGATAGTTCCAGCTGCAGCTAATACCAGCTATCCCCATACAACGTACCAGGATTTTCTCTTTGCAGTCACTCCACCACCCCTCCCCCTTGCAGTGAGGTCCCACCAGGTACATACTGAGGGCCAAGGCTAGTGCACAGCACCAATATGATACAACTTTACGTGACGCAAACTCGCGTGCAGGAAAAATCAGTGAGCAGCACTGTAGATTAGCGCTCACTCAGCAGCTCGCCCTCCCGGAAAACAGGGTGCTTCTGGGCGATGCAGTAGGAGAGCCCGTCCTGCGTCTCCCGCTCTGCTGTGGGCTCAGCTGTGCTTCGTGGTGCAAACGCTCTTAAGCCAGACTTCAGGAAACGCCTGGCATAATGAATCTCCACATCTCTCCCTTATAGTGCTGGGTACCCATACACACTCAATTTTATGTGTTGTTATTCAGGAGAGACTAAGAAAACATTGAAGAATGGAAAATTTCAAAAAAGGACATTTAGGAAGAAGCTTTAGCCGTTTTCCCTTCTACCATAATGTTTTCGTTTGCCGCTAAATTCACGCACTTTTTTTTTTTTTAAAGATTTATTTATTTGTACATACAGAACTGGGGTACAGGACAGAGGCTCAGGGGCGGCAAGAGGCTTCACCAGAGACAGAGTGGGGAACAGAACAGGCAGATTGACGAAGTACACTGCTGAGGGGAGCAGCGGGCGGGTCAGGAGAGGTCTGCCACGCCATGTGGTCTCCTCTGGGGCAGGTGGGAATCGAACTCATGCGGAAGTGGCTTTAGCTTCTTAGTGCAGTGCTGTAACCCGCTGTGCCACCAGGGAGGGCCAAATTCACGCACTTTTTATCCCACTTGAAATGGACACTTGTGCAGGTTCCTGTCCTTTGGGATTTATATATTTACTTTTTGTCATTAGTGGTATGTTTGCTAATAAGGTGTCAGAATGGCACCAAAGCAGGTATAAAAAATAATGTTTTTTTCTCAGGAAAAAAATAACTATAAAATGTAGATGAGGTTTTTGTTATGTATATTAATATTTACCTGAAAGTCAGGTGACAAGGTAACCTGGGGGCAGTTTACGGTGCCTCTTGATGGAAAAGGCAAAGGCATCAGAAACTCAGTCAGCTATTCTCCTCTGAGCAAATCTTAACTGCGTAACATCAATGTAGAGCACTTCTACTAGGGAGGAAATCACTCATCTGCGCTCTGTAACATCCACCTGGCTGATCATGAGGTATGCTGGGGCTCTGTGGAGAGGTCTCTCAGGATGACCCAACTATTTCAAGGCTCAACACTTCTTTGAAATAAAGTCCATGTTGCTTTACCCAAATGTGATGGAGTCCAGCACGGTGTAGGATCTCATTCCTCTGAAGTCTTCTCCCCAGTTACTTTTGGAATTCCCAGGGTTGCTCACTTACCACAGACACGCTTACACTCTGGGACGCATGGCTTGCTGATCACTGTAATGGGAAATTTTAGCTTTATTTAGTCCTCTTTGTCCTGTTGGAGAAGGTTGGCTCATGGCAGACAGCACATTTCAGGCGGGAGTCTTTTCCTTGCCTGGTTGCCTACTCAAGATAACTCACAGGAAGATAACTCACATGGAAATCCAGACAGGAGTCAAAGTTCAGCCTTGAAGAAGGGAGGCAATGACCACTTACATGCTAGACTCTGACATGCACAGAACTGGGAATTCTCTCCCATCCTTCCAGCTTAGAAAGGACTGAAAATTGTCCCTCCCTGGTGGCTCAGCAGATTAAAGCACGCACCTCTGGCCTGTATCCTAGTTTTGTATGCGTAAATAAATAAATCTTAAAAAAAAATAAAGACTGAAAATAAGTGACTTTCTTGAACCTTGACACCTGGAGAGTCAGATATAACCAGAGTCCAAGCTAAGAGCTGCTCGCCTGAAGCAAAGACCACTGGAGATAACAGACTGCTTGCAGCACTTACGAGGTTGTTTTGAAGAATTGTTGAGTCTCAGTGTGCACTAGTGCAAGAGTGAGAAACTCTAGGGATCCACATTTCTTGGGGAGCTGCCAACTTTCATGGACTTTACCTCCAGGAGTCACCTTGACCCAGCGAAAGTTCCAGAAAAACCCCTTTGTGCCTCCATTAGGAGGAGGAAAAGCATAATGATGGCAGGACACTCCAACACCCACGCTCTGGCCCCACTTGGGGCTACGGACATTGCTCACTTCATCCCCCCAGTGTCTCTCTTCTAAACGGGAGAAGGGGACATGGTCAAGGGGCAGTGGTGGTGGTTGCTATCCTTC